TGAAGTGCTGTGTGACCTGACGACCCTCCTACTTGACTTGCCATTGCGTCCAAGAAGTAGGAGAAGGAGGTGGTGGAGAAGACGGTATACGAATGGCAACAGACTTATCGTATGTTGGTAGTTTGTCGTGAGTGTGTAGCATTTACACAACGAAAGCCCTCTAAATGAGCGATAGTTGTGCGTTGAATTGATTTGGGGGCATCTGCTCACTACATGCTTTATGTGCGCGCGTGTACAATGGTTTACAATGATATGACCACTGCAGGCTACCATTGATTAGTGCCGGTAGAAAAGTGTGTGTAACCATCTTGTCGTCTATCAATGACTGAACTAAACGAATTGGTGATCAGTCGCCTAGCCATCAGAGAAAAAATGAAGGATTACTTTTTTTTGCAATTGGCAAAAAGGGCCTACTTACCATTATTACAGAGATGCGACACTGTGCTCGGAGTTGAACTAACACGCAACCCAGCCTAAGGCAAACACAGCTCGGTATAAGGTCGCATTGACTGCAATAACAAAAATAAAACCTTCAAGAAGTGATTTTTAAATTAGGCATCTCATCTAGGTGTGACTCTTTGCAATAGGGATGCAGCGATTTTTTAAGTGGTGTTTTGGTTCAATCATCGCATGTGCATACCTTGGAATTGGGGAACTCGGGTAGCAAAACCTTTGTGGCCACTTTCACATAGGGCTGGTCACCTGGATACGATTTTACGAATTTGCTCACGTCGAACTCTGGGTATGGTATTTCAGATAATTGAACGATAAGTTCTACGAATCTGTTGCCATTCCTTCCAATAGGTATGAAGCTGCAAGTTACTGATATTACGACAGGATTTTATTGAGCGATTTGGCAGCCACGTTTTGGTTCAGGGCTCTAATAACTTAATAATTTTATGTTTTAAACCAATGTCTTTGTCAAAATTTATTAAAAATGTATTAAAAACAATGAGAAAAAAGGCTGCTGACAAACTTGGATAAGTTTGGTAATATAGTGGTTGATATTTTAAGTGTAAATACTATCTTAAACAAGCTACACTTTGTGTAGTAATATTACAACATTTGGACTAAAAGGCAGTTGCTGTGATGTCACATCCTCATCAATGCTTCTTCACAATTTTACCTGCACACAGGGTAAGGGGCCGAAATACTTGCAATGTGTTGAAACAGAAGACTCTAATAGAAGCTAAATCCATTTTTTCATCCTCCAACATTTGATCGTTGCGGAGCTCTCCAAGATCTGCTGTTGTTGCTGCTGTGCCTGTTGCATTTACTACTGCATAGCTCTCGCGATGTACTCGAGTGCATCGCCACTCAGTCGGACTGGCACGGGAAGCTAGGGTGCTAATCTCAATGGGAATTTGCGTCGTGAATCATACCATCCACACACTATGTCGAATCTGCTAAATATAAACACAGAAAAAGCTCTGAAAACAATTTTGACAACAATTCGCATTTCCCTGTCTTAGTTCAAATGACATTTAGTAAAATGTAGGAATTTGATTTTTTTCCCTAGACGAACCTGTCTGAACTTACCGGAGGGAGTCACTCTATATATGCCCATTGTTGAGTGCACAGGTTGGTGATATCCCAAATACTCTAGCTCTCCCACCGTTTACGTCCAAAGTGACTGTTGGCTCAAGGCCTCCTTCTTACGCAGGTTCTTTCTGCCTCGTCGGAGTTTAACCGTACTGATTGCGAGTGAGTCTAAAGCACTCACCATAGATTCTTTCTTTAAAAATTTCTATGACGAACATCCACGAATTTTTTCACTGGTGGAACCTAGGCTTTTTGAATGAATTACTTCGTACTTTAAGGGAATTCAATGTCTAAAAGAGTTTCCAACATAAGATAAGACTGCATCGTTCACCATTTTAGACTCTGGAAAGCATGCGCTTTAATTGATTGCAAAATAGGGTAGTTGACAGGGCAAGCGTCCATGATACTGACTTAGCGTGATCTCACAGACCAGTTATTTGAATAAATCTAGTTCTACCTATAACTTATTGCAGGTGATTAAGTGTTGCCTTATTGTTAAAAGTTACAGTAAGCTTAAAGGTAAAGTAGATACAAGTTATTCAAACAGATAAAACAAGCTCTGCCAATTAACCAAGTTGTTTTCTGTGTGAATTCTAAGATAAGTTTAAATTTGCCGAAAACTTCTCAATAAAATGCGATGTACGCATTGGACTAATTTGTTTTCTATTTTCAGGTATCAATTAATCCACAGTTATTGTTAAAATTATAACTAAAAGTCCTAATCTCGACCAAAAGTCACTTTATCAGGGTTGGTTCTGAATCCACACTCTAGATAAACTATTACAAATCCTCACCAGTGAATATGCAACGACTGGTAGGACAAGCGTCTCAACTTCGCTAACCACATGGCATAAAAGCATATCCTCTGCTGTCGACTTATTATTTACTAAATCTGATGATCTAGTCAAAAAGAACCTACAGCTTGCACACACACACACAAACCAACAGAGGTCATCGGTTATTCACTGCCAGACTAGCGGTCAGAGACGACCCGAGTCATAAAACGCGTCGCAACCAACGCCCAGCCGCCCTCAGAGCCACTACCACCCTTGCAACCGTCCTCTGGATGTGGCCACTGCAGCTGGCATGGCGGTGGAGGTTGTTTACACTTAAGCATTGCATCAAAAGCATTTCTGCCTTTCACGTGAATGTGCTTGGCATTATCAATGCACTCATCCATCATTTTTATAATAGGAATGAGAGATAGGCTTGCCAAAATCTGTATACTTTCAAATATAAATTGTGCTGTGGGTCATGCGGAACTTTCTTTTGACAGCGATAATTTGTTTGATCACTATAGACTTATTATTAGGCCAATTTGCACCTGTACCATCTCTCAACCCAAATCCAATGCCAAACCACAGTTAAATAGAAAGTTAGGAAGCTCCCAGACAGGTATTTACCCTGTTCACGCAACTCTAGACAAATTTTTCACTTATTCACCCCATAAACATTGAAGTTCCAAACTTTCCTCAAGCATTTTCAGATGTTGCACGGTGTGTGTTTAATCGGGCTATCTTCATTGTACAGGTGACAGCAATTTAACCATGTTCACATCAGGCGGATGGATCCTGTCTTGTGCTTTTGAAGTTTGTCGTGGCGACGCAGGTCAAAGGGCAAGGTTGTACCGAGCAGTATGAAACCCACGATTCGAATCGAGGTGCGTGCCAGGTGTTCTTAAATTAGGCAACACTGGAGACAGGAAAGTCAGTTAGGAAGATCAGTAAAAAATACGGTGGAGCACTTTGCAATCATGCTGCTTGTTTACACCATTGGGACCGGAAAGCAATGAGATTGGTAAAAATGCGACTCGACGAGATCAACACGGTGCTTTATTGGTATCGAGCCCCTTTTTGTGTAGCAGTGCATCAATATATATATATATTCATAAATAGGATTAAACTTACAGTTCGTAAAATACCAATAAATGAGTGATGGTACGGGGGATGGTACAGAAATAAAATAATCAGGATCGAAAATGCTGCGCTCATGGCAATATGCAAATCACTCTTGGAAAATCTCAGGTGAAAGCAATGTAAAACCCCCCCCCCAGGTTTTCTATAACGTTTCGACAGGCACAACACAAAATTAGATTGCCGAAATACTATTGGCTGAAGGATCTCGCATGTCCGCTACCGTAGGTTATATTTGTGGGGCATCATCGGTGAAGTTTGGGCCAAAATCTTGTACCACGGAGGGACGAGTGTCAATGTTATGTAAATGCATAAGGAACTTGCGTGAAAGACGAAAAATTATCTCTGCCTTCCTTTTTACTGTTACAATGCAAAAGGCATCATTAGTAGTTGCGTCAGAGCAAATACTTTGAAAATCTCGTATTTACTAGCCATGAATTGTCTTTATCCTGACAGAACCTACTTTAGTTTTGTTACCGCAGTTCAATATTCGTCTTGCTTTGGCTCTAACGTATCCTAGACACCCCGAAATTGTGATCGAGCTCCAAGACTGGGCCACCGGCTGTTGGAAGCGGAAGTCCAAACCCACTTTCCCATTATTTCAACTTATTATGTAAACAAAAATCTAGTAAGTGTTTATGTTAGCTATACTTTTGCCTAGCAGATGAATTAAATGGTAGTCAATAGTTGGACAAAGGGAGATATTTAGAATTAGTAGCGATCTAAAAGCATGAGTAGTTTCACAACCATTGATTATGGCTGGATTTCGTAGTTAACAAAGTACGAAGAACGCAAATGCGAATTATTTGTAAAATTTTAAACTTGAACAACTATGTCTACCCACGCAATGTTTCACCTAATTTTTTGAAATTGAGAGTGCCTGGTTAACCCTCCTTTGATCAGTTCTCTGTGGCAGACTAGTCACGTCTTACGATCATTCTTTGTTCATGCCTGTTGTCCTAGAGGCTCCCAAAATCACATTGCTCGTTACTAGGTGCCTGATGTCATCTGGGCCTCGTGGGAAAATGCACTCGGGCGTCTATGGACGTCGAGGTGTGATATCACCGGCCCGTCATCCCCCAAGTCAGCTGAGCGATTGGCAGGAGCGAATGTCAAACTGATGGCGGGGAGGGGGTGGTCGATTATGTTCTGCTGATATTACGGTAACGCAGCCTAGTGATTAGCAGTGAGGCATCCCTTGATCGACAGTCCATCAGTTGTGGGGTGACTTGAACGAATCTAGAGGGTGGCGTCCAGGCGACGTGGACTATCTTATATAGTACCACCCTGAAAAATTGTAGTAAGGGGATTTGTTGCAAATTGCGCGGATCATGAGGAAGTCAGTCTACTACCAGTTAGTCCGATAAAGAGCAATTTTTTACCAATTAAAATGAGTTTAGGACTAGTCAGATGACCGCCACGGTAGGTGTTTCTTTGGCCGTTTCTTTTACACTTTCATTCAAGCCTGGGTGAAGATACTTTCCGATTTTATTTAGATTGAAGCATCCCAGCTTAGGGTTTCGGCTTCCACCTACTGTGTGGATGAAACTTTGTTTCATTCGACCAACATTGTAGGGAGACTTGGTGATTAAATTATCAAGCCAGTGAAAGTGTTGAACGGTTGAAGGTTTCCTTATTTTTCGCTGCTGCTCTTCCGACAGACATTCTATCGGTGCAGGTCGACAACCACGAGTTAATGAAATGTGGAATCATTCTTGAAAATTGTTTGTTGTGGTGGTGACAAGCGTCTGACTGGTTGCACGGGTTTCTGCGTAATATTATTGGTTATTGTAGGATAATTTGCTCCCCTGTTTAGCAAAATGAAGAGGGATCACGAGATTGTGTGATTTGTGAAGTCGAGTGCGGTTTAAGTTAGAAGGCCATCTGGATTTGGGAGTAAGAGAAAAATAAAAACTTCAAGGTCATATAGAAGCAAAAAATTCCAGCTCGTATTTATGCAAACCACGGAGCTGTAATGGTAGCATTGCACGAGATAAAGTGTAAAGAATTTGTTCCGGCCTCCGATGCGGTTTTGGGAACCGCACTAGGGCCGACGATCTACACTGACACGGCCCGGTCGAAAGAAGAGCCGAAATGCAGATAGTTGGTAGCTCAAATTATTTTTTGATTCAGTAGTAGTGGTGGTGCGTACAACGTAAAATGTCATTCTATATAGGATCGGCTAAACATTGATTCCTGAATGAACACAGTTACGCGAAATGCATTCACGTAAACCAATTGGATCATGTTCACTCACACTTGTTGTGTTCGCTTGCTGCTCGACGCAATTTTATTTATTTGCTTGAACGTCCCATCAACGTGGACAAAGTGGCACAAGTTGGAGCGATGACTCGTAGTGTTGCCTCCCCGTTACCTGTAGACTTGACAGAGCCGAAGTTAGAATAACTGATCCACCACCAATCGATACGAAGCCCGGTGAAGGGGACAAGGGGAGACTGATGACCACAGAGAAAGGCAATAAAAATCACATAAATATCAGACTCGCGCAGTTGTGCAAGAGGGGTGGGTTGGGCCACGATGTGTGAGAGGAGTGGGGTGGGCTTCGATGTATGCTGGTGCTATCCATCGACATCTGTCGATGCACTTATGCAAGATCCATTCCCTGTTCCTCCTCTCCCTCTCCTCCCCTCCACTCCGACTCAAAGGGGATTAACAAACCACCATTCGAGCAACTAATCAAACCCAAAACGAGTGCAGTAAAATTAGTTTAACTCGGGACCAGGTTGGAAATGCATACATTTCTTTTTTTATAGGCAGATTGGGTAAGAAACCGGATTTCAACTCTTCACTGGTAGAATGTGCGTATTTTGTCGCTGTGGGGCCATGTTGCTTAAAATGCCTTCCAAGCAACATCCTCATAATTTTGCCTTAGGCTTTAGTAAAAGTGCTCCATTTGCGGAAGTATTTTCATGTGTCCGTTTTCTGATCACCAAGCCCTCCACCCATGCCTGGCACCCTTAACTATTCCAATTAATTTTGACTAGATTTGATTAGTCTAAAGCCATGAAAACAAGCTCACCCATTTTACGAGCACTGAGGGACTCAATTTCTTTATAAATTTTTATGTATATTCGTTTTCAGCCTTTTTCTTTGCCTAATGAATTATAAATATCGGGAGAACTGTCACGACTTAAAGGAAATCTAACACTAGCTAGTGCACAGTAATGGTTTCAAAATTAATCCGGGTCTAAGATTGAATTATATTTTGCCTTAAAACTGGGCAAGCTTCCAAACGTAATATCCTGGACTTGTCATTTTTAAGTTTACAATTTAAGTGAACACCATAACACTAATCATGGGAACCAATCAACTTATTCTGCTGCCCTCAATTAGTACTTTTTTGCTTAGCTCACATAAATTGCATTGGTTAATCCTTTGTATCGAAAAGTTAATTTTAACAATTACCAATATCGCTGTTCCCCAGGGCTCATTGTTAGTAAAACCGATTCATTACCCCTCAAAGTCTAGCTGGCTTCAAAGCCAATGAAAAGCGGAAATTATCTTGCTGGTTTGAAATTATTGAGTTCATGTCATTCACACTGACAAAATTATGTCAACAATATAATGGCGCATTCGTCGCCTAGAACAAATCAAAATAAACTATGTTTGGATATCAGAGGAGAAAGAAATAGGCAAATCCAGTTATACAACAAAATACAAAATAAGAGGCGGAGTTTGCTTTGCTGCCCTTCCCTTTGAATTTAATTTTACCAGAATAACACATGTACCTGGGAAGTTACACCTGCAGAAACCTAATGCTTTCAGGCTTTCCATTGTGAAACCACACACTGGCACAATAACAAAATCTAACTACAGTCAGTATTCATAATAAGGTAGCAGCATATGTTAAGGTCATGCGCGGTGTTTCGTTTGGGTTACCTGAAACACACGATTGCCTAAACACTACCATAGACCGTTGGCACTTATCGTACTAATTATAATGCCTCTTTAGGTTTCACCTCAAAACTATTTGATTTGTCAAAATCTCCGTTGTTCAGGATCCCTCAAGTGGAATATGCGAAACTTAGTTAGTGAACATTTGAAGCAAAAAAAGTTATTTGGCTTGCAAATGTGTTGTCTGCTCCGACTTCGTGAAAGTCACATTCCTCAGTGGTTGGCCCAGCTTGTGATCGCATTGCATCAATGCTTTGTATATCCCCATGGGTTCGACAACGATAATTCCACAAGTATCTTGCATGAACTCAATGTCAGGAAGGACCAAAAAACGAAAAATTATAGTGAATCTTATTTCATGCAATTGAATCCTAAACCTGT